CCCAGTTTTGTCCTCCTAGCCACACTTCCCAGTTGCTGATAGTCCCGTTACCACAGTTTGGTGAGCTACCACTTCCTACACATACGCTTGTCACCCGTTACAAGCCTGACATATTTTACCTTCCTCTGCCTCTTTGGTTTAAATCTCCATTCGTTTCATCGAAAGTCCAAGTTCTGCATGTTTATGCCATAAGCTCACATCCTCCTCCTGCATGCAAGTTTGGTCGGAGCTTGTCAGTTAGTCAACCCTGCAACGCAAAAATATCCCTGGCACACAGTTGGCCCTGGCACAAGTATTTTCTCCAAGGGAGGGACCTATGCTGTGCACTCCTGGCAGTGCACCCAGCCCTCAGGAAGGACAAGGCAGCAAGGAGTGAGCGTGTGCCCCTCCGGTGCCGGTCCACGAGCCCCGAACCAGTGGTCAGCCTGCAGGAGACACTCACAGCAGAAGCGGTGGCAGGGTCTCCCTTTGGTAGTTCCCCAAGTTTGGCTGGGAGGAGGGCAGCAGCCTCTGCAGAGGGAGCAAGGGGCCTGCGGGGACCGGGGTCTGCGCCCAGGCTGGGATTCCTGTATCACTGCCCAGTCTGTCAGGCATAAGGATAGCACCCCTGGCCGGGCCACTCTGTCAGGCTGAAATATCAGTGGAAATATCCTTTTCTGCCTCCTGTTATTTGCAGGGAATCTGAAGCATGTTGTTTAGCAGAGGAGGAAGGCTCAGGTTTCTGCAAGAGCATTTCCTGCAGGGAAGACAGCGTGTTTGTGTGAGCAGCTGGAGAAATTTGTGGCTGCCGGGGAAATTTGGAAGAAATTACTGTTGCTTGGTTGATTGTTTTCACTTTAAAGAAGAGAAGCTGCTGTGCACCACGAGCACCATGGCTCTCCCCAGGCAGGAGTGTGAGACCTCCAGCCACAGCCCTCAGTGCTGGCAGAGCCTCCCTTGCTCCTTTCTCTTTCCTTTTTTAACACCAGAGTTTATTCTCACAACTGGTTTTAAACATTTTTTAAGAGAGGGGCTGCTCAGAGCTCTGAACCCTCCCCAGCTGGAGCCCGCGCCGTGTTGCCCTCCTGGCAGGAGCACGGCCTCTGAGCTGCCCACCCAGGGAGCGGTGCCGGGGGCCAGCTGGGGCGCAGGGCAGGGGCTGTGCCTCTTACCCACGAAAAGGCACAGCCATTGTGTTTTTCACTGGGATTTTTTTTTTAAATAAAGTATTTGAAATACTCCTCCAGCTGTTTCCTTTCTTCCTGCACCCACCCTGCCTTGCCACTGCTCTTTTCCACAGCAGTTCACGTGTTCAGTGAAGGTCCAGCCAATGTTGAAAAGCAAAGATCTTCAGGTTTGTATGTGCCCTTCCAGCCCCATCACACAAGGCAGCACAGACCCCATGGGCAATGGGTGGGCTTCTGGAATACTGTGTGGAGGGGCCAGACCCGAGGGATGCTCTCCAGAGTGTTGAGGGAGGTGCAGGGCAGGGTGGCAGCTCCTGTCCTGGGAGATCTCGGGTGAACCTCCAGGTGTCCCAGCCCCCCGTGAGAGCTGCCAC